CTTTTTTTAATGATGGAGAGATAATGAATGATGTTGAATTGAGGCTTCCAAATTCAATCTGCCAATGGTGCTAATGGCTCATGAATAGTAAATGCATACATGTACTAGGAAATGAGGAGGCAGAAGCAGGCCAGAGGACAACACTGTACCCTTGCGGGGTGGGGGTGAGATTGAGTCTAAGCAAAGGTTTGTTTAATGTGAGTATGGTTGGCATTTAGACCTGAAGAGTCTGCTCTAGACAATGGCATTACAGGAAGCTTAGCATCATCCTTGGCTCTCAATCGCTAGACGCTAGACACAACTTCCTCACTTCCTGGTCAGGAATTCAGACATTTCTCTAGATATTAGCGTGGTCCTGGGTTGGCGATGAGGGAGAAGAGTCTCCTTATAAGAAACACTATTTTAAATAAAGAAGGCTGCAGGGCTCACTCTATTGGTCAACCTGAGCTGATCCTCAGGTGGGGTAATAAAGTAAAAAGGAAGACGCTTCTTTATTCTGCTCCTCTGGAGACTGTATTGTTGCTGCTTCCCTGGTAATGGAAATAAGTTAAAGATACACTCATTAAGAGTCCACAAATGCCTTGCCCATTTTAATAAGGTCTCAGGCAGAAGATAAAGGGAAAAAAATGTAGTCAAGAGACTGGACAGCCCTGGGTTAGATGATGTTAGAGATCCAATCATTATAACTGGGGCATTAAAAAAGTATAATCTCACAGCCAGGTGATGTCTGGAATATTGACATTTAACACAAAACTAGCTATTTAAATGAAAAGCATCCTTTTGGCCCTTCCTCTGCCTCCTCAAGCAAAGCCTTCAGCAGTCCATTTTCAGACTCCTTTGGTCAACTTGCTCAACTGGTCTCGGGAAGCACACCCTCGCTGCTGGGAAATGAACTCAGATCCCATACTTTCCCCAGGAAGGAAGTTGCACACATCAGACATCATGAGAAGGAGAATAGGTGTTTGCACCGTGTGCCCACCCACTATTATAAACACCTGGGGGAAATACCACTCTGGCTGTTCCTGGATGGCACGGAAAACCCAATTTTTAGACTGAGTAAATGCATAAGACCTGCGTGCCTGGGGTACAGAGAGAGGTGCAGTTCTGCGTGTGTTCAAACTTTACAACATTTTTACAAACCTCACCCTTGAGTGGAGTGCTGTAGACAAAACTGGCCTTTCTCTGTTCGCTCTATGACAGTGGCCTATTGAGCTCCTCTCTGTCCCCCAACTTTGAGAGACTTTCCAAGAACTTGCTTAAAAATCTTTCTTTGAAAATAATATCAGGCAGCAAGTGTTCCTATTTAAACACAAAAACCTCTGCTGGCAGTTTCAGAATGAGTTAAGTAGCATGACAAACGGCAAGCGAAAGGAGGGTTATTTTTACATTGAAGTTTTACAAGTTACCTAAGTACCCCTTCCCATAGTACAGCGCTCCCCTAGATAAGCTATTGTTCTCCATAATTGCTTTATATTAGTAAGACATAAGCATGAAGCTCTTGTAATGTTTGTGGTTTCCCAATTCAAAAAAAAAAAAAAACTTCTAATGCTTCACCTGAACCCACCACTAAAGTTATATAGTTACTCAATGATAAAATGAAAACCCTCTTAAAATTGGGCAATGTATCTAAGTAAATATTTCTCCAAGGAAACATAGAGATGGCCCAGAAGTGCAGGTAAAGCTGTGCAACATCATAGCCATCAGGGAAATGCACGTGGGTACCACAAGGACACACCACTTCCACCCACTAGCACTGGCGTCCTCAAGATAGCAACAGACTTTTAACAGATGCTAATAGTGGTCATAAGCCAGAAATACATTTCAATAAATAGGATTTACTCTGCCGTAAGTTTGTAAACTTTGAGAAAGTTTGACTGTCTTTATCCACCCAACAGATATGACCAGGAACAGCTAACTCTTCTCTCACTGGGAGTCCTCTCAAACTTGATGCAGGGAGACCTCCTCTGGAGACATGAGAGAAGTTCAGTCTCAAGCTCAAGCATCCGGCTGGGCACAAACAACCCCAATAAAGAAAACCTCTCTTTTAAAATACTTTAGAATCCTTATTTCTCACTTGCATAAGTCAGGAGCCAAAGGCATCAAAGTCAGCCACACTTTATGAAGGGTTGGGAGAGAAATTCTCATCAAAATCATTTTTTAATGGAATGCTAATTGCTTGGGCCAAATCCGTATGGCTGGATTTACCTTGCTTGAAAACAAAGGCTTCGGAAAAAGATTTGTTGTAAAATGAACCACTGGCTCACTACAGCGTAATGAGAAGCAGTGCTGCTAACAGCCCTTAGAGGATGGATTCTGTGCGGTGGTGACTCCAACCACACTTTGATTTAACAGTTTATCTTAGCAACCCTTACTAACATCAAGTCATATTTTAAATATGAGACTGTAGCAATACAAACAAAATATGTTTACGCAGAGGGCATTAATGCAACCTATAACAGGTTACTGTAAATCAACCTAATTTATATTTGACATCTATGATCTATGATCTTTCCTGGGGCAGAAAAGACATGCTAAAGAGAGTGCACGCCTAACAGAGAGAGAGAGAGAGAGAGAGAGAGAGAGAGAGAGAGAGAGTCATAATGACAGGAATAAACTTAATCGTGACTCCTGATAGCACTAACTCTCCAGTTTCTCCCTCATTTCTGAAGAAAAAAAAATCTGATCACCATGAATGAGGACAGGGGCTGGGCCTTCCTAGAGGAACTGCTGCATGTGGAGCAGACACAGACAGGACCAGCTATGTCCTGGGAATGGGAATAGGCTGATACAGTTGAGGCGGGGTCAAGTTAGGAAGTTCTATAGGGGTCTCTAGGCATGTTACTATAGGTTGTGAAACCCAGGCCAGAATTGGGTGCTGGGACTGGGAGTGCAGGTCTGTTTGTAGAGTGCTTGCCTAGCATGCAGGAGACTCTGGGTTTGACTCCCAGCTCTTCATAAACAGGTGTGGCTGTACATGCCTATGACTGAGCCATCAGGAAGGTCAAGAATGACCAGGAGTTAGGGCATACTTGGGTACACAGTAAGCTTGACTCCCAGCCTGGATCCATGAGACTGCCTCCAGAGAGAGAAGGGAGAGGAAGAGGTGGGAGTTCTATTAATTTTAAAGAAGAAAAAAGCCACACACACAGGAAGGAAAACACAATATTGCACCAACCAAGATTTGAAGCAGAAAATTTTAAACCCAGATAAAAGAACTGGGAATGGAGAAGAAGGAACTTGAGAAGCTAAATGAAAGGGGGGAAAAGTAAAAGATTTGTCCTTGCCCTGTATGTAGCCAATTGTTTAAAGAATTGAGATACAATTGATGAAGGAATAAGATGACTTCTACAGAAACACACATGGCCTTATGAGTCCCTAGGGGGCAGGCTTCTCCTTTGAGGTCCTAGAAGGTTTTTCCCTAACCAGCTAGCTGCTTCTTTCTGAAACCAACTTGAGTCCTTCTTCCTTTGATGCTGCGGTGGTACCCACAAGTTATCATTGTTCTCAACACAAGCCGTGGGAACAAGTTCCAGATCCCTAACATTAACCATTCTTACACCATGATCCTGTCATAGTTCAAAATGCGGCACACAAAAATAGTAACTCTTAGAGTGGGTGATTCTCATATTGCCAGAAAAATGCCCCTTATGAGGTTAAATTAAATACCAAAGTCCTCAAGAAGACGGACAGTGAAGAGTTATCTATAAAGACGAACTACCTAGGTGCGTTTTTCCCTGTCGTGCCATAACAGTCTGTGTGTGCCCAGAAAATGCACTCACAGGCTACTCGTCCTAAGTCCTCCTGTGGCTATAACATCGGCCACTCTCGAAAGTCACGCTGTGGTGACAAACGCAATCAAATCATTTTTTTTTAACAGCTTACCAAAACTCTGTGACCAAAAGGAAAGCCTTGGATTTTAAAAGTTGTGCCTTCTGATTTCTTAACAGTTCTTAATCTTTCATAACCAAAAGTTCAAGTCAATGTTTGTGTTTGAAATGAAGCAAAGCAGGGAATTTTGAAGAGGCTGGGCTCATTTGGTATATGCAGTTGTCTGTCTACCAAACCCACGGCTGCATAGATATCCAACCTCCAAGCAGCAGTCTCAAGAGTCCTAAGATTTTTCGTAAGCAAAGCACATGTCACCTTCTTTCATTCAGAAATTAAGTAATAAATAAGCTGTGTCACTGCAGTAAGATAAGGGAAGAAGAAAGATAAGGTTGAAAACCGTCGTGTTTGTGAGTTCTATACGCATCCTGACAATGATGTGTTTAGCATTTAGGTGTACATAATAGAGAAGGCTTCAGGAGCTCAACGGTGAGAAATGCCTGTCTAGCTATGCTTTATTGGGACCACGTCCTGGTCAGAGGTGTCAATACTACCAACAGATCTCCCTAACAAGTGTGTGAGAACCAACTGGCCAGAGGATGAGGACATAGTGTTTAATATAATGCTTTTCAGGAATAAAAAAGGGAACAGTCAGTGAGGAAAAAATGTTGGCAGAACAAAGCGCAATGAAGCTGGGTTTCATGAAACAGTCGGTAAAATTGAAGTGCTCCAATTAATTGAATTGTCTAACTTCGCCTAGCAGACCCGTAATGATAATAAACGCTATCATGATGAAAACTTACTGGGACTATAAAATGCAGTTAGTCAACTAATGCATTTACATAACTCTAAAAAGGGTTTTCATTTCATGGGGGACCTTTACTGCTTAAGCATCAATTAAAGTTCACTCCAAGCCAAAGTGCCCTGAGGTCTCTGGGTACAGCCAGAGAGAATATGGCATGGCTCTGGATGGTATTTTGGCAATTTTAATTTCTCTCACTAAAATCTCTCATTTCAAAACCAATTACGTTTTGAGTGGAAGCACGCCCACAGCTCCCTTTCTTAGTCAATGGGGAGAGGCATTTGATCCACAGAAGGTCTGTTGCGTGTGCCCACAATCCCCTCCCTTCCAACCCACCGACCGCAGTCTCTGCTCAGTAGAAGAGAGTACTTACTTCCTTTCCTCGAGCAAGGCGATCTCTTTTTTGACCTCATGGTACTCCTCTGCTATTTGGCAGTGCTGTTTAAACACCTGCATGGATTCTACGGAGTCGTGACATGGCGGCAGAGGCTGCACAAACGAGGAGAAAGGCAATCAGTCCACCGGATCAGAAAGCAGCACCGCCAACGAACACAGCGGAGATGGGCGGCTTCTGTTTGAGGCGATCCTGCCAACACTGCCTTTCCTGGCCTCTCGACCGGAAACTGGAGCCCCGAGACCTACTACACGTTAGCTACCTGCCCCATCGATCTGTGGTTGTTCTTAGAACTTGTAAACTGCTTTAGAAAAGATCAGAGGAAATACTCCAGTCGTCTGTTTCAATTCCCCCCATTTTTTTCCCTACGCCTATAATCCTGAGGCCAAGCCCACGAGAGTGGCGCAGTCCTGCGGGTAAAGAGGACCAGAACCCTAAACCCTGCTCGGGGCACATGAGGCGGAACACAGAACAGATCTGAATTTCTTCTTCCCTCCCATCTATGAGGAAAACAGGTCGCAAACTTTTCCTACATATAACATGGAAACCATACCTACCTCCAGAAATCATTTTTAACTAAGACCGCCATGGCTTTGTAATTCTTATTTCCACATCAGCAATGTGTGATTTAAAGCACTACTGTTTGGGATGGTCTTCTAATTGTCTTTTAGAGAGGTTTTGAATCACCCCCTAATTACTTATGGAAAATATGTAAAATCTGAGACGCATGGAAGTTGGTTGCTGAACAAGCTCTTGGGTCCTACTTGTCGTTATGGTCTATGCAGGCAAACAGTGTCTGACTAGGTACTATTCTCACTCATTTATTCCAGTAAAGTGTGAACTAATGGATCTTGTTCTTTGCTCCCATATTCTCCAAGCACAGCACACGGATTTCTTGGGGTGTCATATTTGCTCAGAAAGTAGCAGCAATTCAATATAGCGTGTGCGCTGGCTGACAGCTAAGAGCGCCCGTCTCATTCAAAGGAAGTAGAATTCTAAGTAGACATAGACATTATTGACACATCACACTGAACCTCATTGATGTGCACAATGAATACTTGTTAATAAGTTCTGCCATGTTTTCGAATTCTGATTGGGACAAATTTTACATTTGTGTGAAATCCTTGATGTCACTTAACTCACGTGGAATCTGACACTGGCCACTTTACGTGGCATCTTTCCCTGGACCCCTATGAACATATTCACAATGCCAGCCCAGCCAGCTGTAACCATGACCCTTTTCAACACAGAAATAAATGGAAAACCAGGACACAGTGCTACAACAATATAATTCACCCCAGGCGACAAAGCAGCTGCCAAAGGAATTCACGACTCCTGGCTCCTCCAGTCTGTAGCCCAGAAATCTCAACCCTTCACCAATTCTCACCTGTTACGCTGGCACGTTACCAGGTATAACTGTTAGCGGAATGAAAGCAACATACCCGGGCTCCCGAGCCAAGCTTTTAAATCATCTGTGCCCTGTTAGAAGACTTGCCTGCTGGCAGCCGTGAGAGTCCACATCCCATCCTGCCCTCATGAACACCACATTCAAGCAGGATGCAGCAATTCGGTGGCCACCCACAAGCACCTGAACTGCAAATTCCGCAGCGACCTAATGCCACAGCCAAGAATCTAAAGGACTGTGTGCCTGCGAGAATAAAGATGATGGCAGTCAAGGCGGGAGCATCCTTTCTGTGTGCTTTGAGAAGAAAACTGAACATCACAAGTACACTTCCTTCAGGCAAGGAAGCTTCCCCCCTCCTCCTTCCTTTGCTTCGCACCTTGCGGTTCTTTTAAATAACTAGCACGTTTTCCTCATGATTTTGGATTTGTGGTTGGTTTTTTTTTTTAATTTTATGAGTCTGGGTGTTTTGCTTGCATGTTTGTCTGTGCACCACATTCATGCATAGTCTCAAAAGCCAGAAGGTGTTGGGTCCCCTGGAAGTTACAGACTGTTCTGAACTGCCCTGTGGATGCTAGGAATCGAACTCCCATCCTCTAGAAGAGCAGCCACTGTTCCCTGGTGCTGAACCACTTCTCCAGCCCCTTTACTTCCGTTTTTATTGGGACATTAGCATGCTACCACTAAGTGACAGCTCTAGGCCTTTTACATTTTTATCTTTGGACAGTATCATACTAACTTGCCAAAAGCAGCCTTGAGTTCATTCACGGTGCATCCCAGGTAACCCCCAAACCTGTCTCCTCAAGCTTCGGTACCCAAGCAGCTGGGATTACAAAAGTTCACCACTGCATCTGGGCAACTGGCATCTCTTAATTGTAGAAATCAGTATTTTGGAAGAGGCAGGAGACCTGCGGGCGGGGAGGAGGAACAGGTGAGGGTAATGGGAGGCTGGATACAGTCAAAACACGTTATGTACATAGATGAAAATGCCATAATAAAACCTAGTTTTTACAACTAATATCAGCTTTCAAAACTATTTGAAAGGATTTATTTTTAAAGCTAGGCAGTGTGGTGATACTACTAAGGGCATGTGGGCCTAGCTAGGCAGCGGAAGTGACACTCAGAAGTGACTAGCATGACAAGCTTTCTTTTACCTATTTTAAGCCATAGTCCACGTTGATGCAAAGACAGTTTCCTCTGAGACTTTCCTCTTTGCCTAGCCCGGCTAAGATGTCTTCCTCCCGGGGTCTGCCGGCTGAGGCGTGTCTCATCTGTACTCAGCTTTTGTCCTCCCTGACTGTTTTGCCAGGGAATTTCAAATTCTCACCACATTTTAAAATTCCAGGCCATGCGCGGCTAACCACCAATGTTGCCGGGAAAATCAGCATGTGCACTGGCTGACAGACTCCATGGCCATCTGAAGACACTAGACATTTATCCGAGCCCAGAAAATTCATTGAAGAGTTTGTTTACCTGCACGCGGTTTGCATCCCAGAAGAAATTCCAATCAGTGAAAGTCTCCTAACTACGGCAACTTAGACTACCACTGTGCCACTCTGTGCCTCCTAATACGCCTGGCCGTGTTTTCTCACATAGGCTCTAGATCATCACATTGGCCCTGAACCGACTACGTGGCTGAGGGCGGCCTTGAACCTCTGATCCCCCTGCGAAGTCCGTGACTCTGAAGATGAGCAGATGGAGGAGAGTTTTTCATCATTGCCAACTGCCCAGCTTTGAGGAACTCTGTGATAGAATAAGATGCCGTGTTGGCCAAAACCGGTGTCCATCACCGCAGCGGCAAGGATGATGAACTGAACATAGCATATGTGGCAAATACTGCAGAATGAGCACACTGGCTCTCATTGATCCGGGTGATTCTGATATCATTAGAAGCATGTCAGCACGGGCTGGAGAAATGTAAACCAGCAAAGGTTTTAGGGGAAACTTACTAGAGTTTGTTTAAAAATAAATAAATACATATATATTTAAAAAGCAAAACCAGAACTACCCATCTGCTTAAGTAAGGAAAGATCTAAACCCAGGCACGGATGACTTCCTTGGTTGTTGATCCCGCTTAACACATGTTCAAACTGAAAACTTAAGGAAAAGCTACAAAAATTCCTGGAATAGATAGACAGAAAGCATTAACTTTGGGAAATAAAAGCAACAGTTTCTGTCAGTCATGGTGTACACCTGCAATCCCAGTATGTGAAGGTCAAGGAGGCAAAAGTTCAAAGTCACCCCTGACTTTGAGTTCAGCACAAAACTGCTACATAAGACTATTTAAAAAAGAAGAAGTAAAACAGCAGTAAAAAATGATGCTGTCTTTATTCCCAACACTCGATTTAAACTAGTCCTATTAGAGAGAATAGTGTTCATCAAAATCCCATGCTGAGTGGGGGTGGGCAGTTAGGCAACTCCACGTCTGTGCTTTCCTCTTCCATCAGGAGACACCGTCCTTGGTTCCCTGGCATTATTATGCTGCACTTCCTACACCCTGATGCCCTTAGTCCACCTCTCCTCAAAGGAACAAGGCTGCACTCCAAAGGAATCTCAAAATAGTGAGATGTGAAAGGAGCCTAGAACAGCCTGGGAAGCCGCTAGAGGCGGAGCCCATGCCTAGCGTTTGGGAGGCCCTGGGTTCAACTTCTGATATCCCGCCCCTCCGTGTCTCCCCCAACCCATCACCAAAAGCAATTGTTTAAGACCCTAGAACATAGCTGCTGTGTTATCACAGAATCTGTTTTCAGTATCACTCTGTGTGAAGATCTGTTACTGGATTTCGAAGTAGATAAATAAAGATGTTCTCCCAGCGTTGCTTCAAGCCAACTTTGAAACACAGGTTCCCAAGGCACAGATTGGGGCTTGGATGAGGTCAGAGCCCGCCCCCCCCCCCCTCAGCCCTCCTAGTCCCCCCCTCCCCCGCTTCCCGCGGTCATTTCCTCTTCACCCCCTTTCCTGAGAGAACTGAGCTTGCAAAGGTTTTAAATTACACCACCACAGAGTCGGAGGTGGGGGCGGGGCACATCATGGCCTCTGGTACCCAGCCCAATCCCCACGACTAATTTAACACAATGAAGTAAGACAGAAACCAAACCGCAGGCTCCGGTTCCAAGAATGCGGCTTGAACCACACCGTACCACCTCGGCCATCGGTTCACAGCCTCCAGAAGTGTCTTCCGTCCTTTGGAACTGAGCCCGTGAGAAGCACGCAGCCAAGCATCCCTCAGCAAGGGGCAAAGCCGGCTTAAGCCTTTCCGTTTTCTGCTTGGCTACTTCAGAAACTGCTGGCCCAGTCCCCTTCCAAAATGCAAGAATTGACTTTTCCTACCCCAGCTTCCCACACAGAAGATATATTTAGGAAGCCAAACATTCTACAGTGGCTGAGTGGAGTTTGTGTTTATTTTTTGATTCTCAGGATTACCTATTTGAGGGGAGCATAGAGGATACACTCCATTTTAGTGTCTCTCAAGATTAACAAGCATTGTCTGCCAAACCTAAGAGAAACTTAGCCCAGACTGGAGGAAAGAGGATCTGGAGCACATTCAATTATGGTCACTCAAATTTTATTATTTTAAGACTTTAAGGGTTTGAAAATTTATTATAGTAACTGACACTTCTTCAATACATACAGTAAAATCCTAGTAAGTGTGCTGGAATTTATACTGCGCAACTTAACACATTTTACAGCTTG